TTTATCATCCTGTCTCAATAGTCCTGGGGGTACACTGAAACCACACCATGCTTGCCCAATGAGTGCTGGGATCAGAACTCAGGCCCTTATGGCTGTGCAGCAAGCTCTGTTAACCACTGAACCACCTCCCCAGCCCCACTGTCAGCTGTAAATCGATGTGTACATCAGCCCTCTCTTCCTTGTTCAGGGTTAATAAAAGGCATTGGAATAACTTTAGTTGTGGCCGTAGACAGACTGTTCTGAACCACAAACATGCCACAAGAGGACAGCATTGCTTTCAAGCTTGGACATGTGTCATGCATGGACTGAAATCACAGGCTAATTAGACAAACAACAATCTATAAATCATTTCTACTAGTTCTTTGGAAACATACCTTTTATAATTGGGATAAACAGAATACAGATTCAGGGTAAACATTGCTCATGGCACAGTTAAGCTGGTTTTGTTTTGGTGCTGAATAATGACATCAAGACAAGTGAAATGGAATTTATCAACACTGAGCAGTCCTCAGGCAAGCCAGTGAGCTGCTTCCCCAGAGCACCCGGCCTCCAGAGGCAGCCTTCCCACATGTCACCACTGCTTCTCCCTTGTGGTGAAGGATTAACAGTCTCCTTGTGTCTATGCTGGGTTCATTTCTCTTTTATATTGTCTTTCAATAATTCAGCGATGGAGATGCAGCAGACCCAAGTCTCCTGTACCCAAGTCTCTGGTGAGGCAGTTTACTGTGGGCAGGCAGGCCTCTGCCAAAGCTATGAGAAGTGACCCAGCATCAAACCACTCACCGTGAGAAGAGGCTGCGTGGAGAATAGTGCAGACGTCTCCGGCAACACCAATGACATACAGGAACTCCTTTGGGGGACAACCCTCCCCTCCCCCACTTATGAGAACAGCGCTCTCCCTGCTACCTCCAGACTCTGCACACCAAGTTTGCTCCTTTCCCATGATTCATTCATCTTGGGGATTTTGATAGTGGCGCCTCAAGTGATTGAAGCCCAGGCATGCCACCTACCCTGCCTTTTAACCAGTGGGCATCACACTTCCTCACAGCCTTGTTCACAGGTGAATCTAGTCTTCAGTGGAGACACCCACATCTGACATCTGCTGAGCACCACTGAGCATGTGGCCACACCAAGCTGTCCCTTGACGTTACCAACAGTGCTCTGAAGCAGAGGACACCACTGTGTCTCAGAGAGGGAATCTGCGACCTGGGAAAGGCTGAGTCTGGAAAAACTTGGGGATGCCGAGATGCACACACAGATAGCCCCAACTCTGTAGTCCATGGTCTCACTAGGCCAACTAGGGCATGGAGAGAGCAGCGGCATGGGAGGGGTTGCTGGGAGTGTAAAGTCAGTGCAAGAGACAGAATGGACAGCATGTTCTTGGCCTCTTGTCCATCCTGGGTTTACCTTAAAGATGTGCTATGAAGAAATGAGAACCAGATGTATGGGTGGGACTTTTGCTAGCACAGTTCTCCTCATTTCTCTTTGTAGAGAGTAGGGAACCACAACAGGTAACCTCTTTGCTCACTTCCCAACACACGGTACCCAGAAGCTATTATTTTGCAATCAAAGAGAAACAGGGGCTGCTCTCCTGAGCAGGTGCCACCCTGCTCCTTCCTGTGTGCTGGAACAGCCAGGCTGACTGTCATTACCTGGGGTCTCAATAAAATCCAGAGTCCAGACAAGGCTGACAGCAGTGAGCAACCCTGGTCTAGGTGGGGTGGCTCAGACCATAGAGAGCCCTAGGATCTCCAACTTTTCCCCCTCAGGACTCTCATTTGGCTCCCCAGCCTTCCTAGACACAGTTTAGTGTACAAATGGGCACAAGGACAGCGGGTTCCTGTGGCAGGACAATGGCGGAGGAGACAGCGCCTTCCGGAAGTCCGGGTTATTTTGGAGAAGGCAGCCTTTCTGTGGGTCCCCACCAGTCTATCCAGTCATATGCACATGAGACTGTAATTCTCAGGTCACTGCAAGGGAGACGACCGTCTACTGGCGATGACATCAAGCTCTCTGACACGTGGCTGTATGCTGAGATGGTGGCATCCCAGACGACCCGGTAGCCGGGTGCGTGTCCCACCCACCCACCCGCGTTTTAGAGGTCTGTCACCATGACGGCGTCTTCAGGAGAATGTGTGCTGATTAAATGCTGTTGGTTTAAGAGCACCATCTTCTGTTCATCCACAGAAAACTGTGTCACCACTACCACCATGTCCACTGAGCTGCTGTCCTCTCTGTGTAGGAAGGGAGCTGGGTCTGCGTACCTGACGGCTGAGGTAGTGGGGGGCAGGACAGTAAGGGCACTGAGCTACAGAGCCGCTCTCTCACTGACAGCCCTGTCTCACCCTTATAGCCCCTGAGTATTGCTCACACACTGCGTTGATTTTTTCTTCTTTGCGAAATGCAAATCTGATCGGTTTCCAATTCCAATCAAAACCGTGTACAAACGCTCACCTCAGATACAGAGCAAGATGGAAAACAAAAGGCAAATGCCTATTGGCTGTTGTAGAATACTATTTTAAGATGGGTTACGTGCTTTTATGCTGTGGAGCATTTGTATCATGATGCAAAGATGTGTTACATTCTTTTACATTGCATTTGTTTAACTCTGAGAAGCCGTGTTACTTTCCCTGTCTAAAACACTTTATTCGTCTAATAAGGGGCTGAACAGGCAATAGCAAGGCAGGAGAAAGGATAGGCGGGACTAGAAGACAGGGAATAAGGAGAGGAAGAAGCAAGTGAAATCAAGGAGCTAGAAAAGAGGGGGCCAGCCACCTAGCCACCCGGCCACCCAGCCACCCAGCCACCCAGCCACCCAGCCACCCAGCCACCCGGCCACCCGGCCACCCGGCCACCCGGCCATACTGACAGCCGTGGAGGAAAAGGGAAAGTAAGAGATACAGAAAAAGAAAGGAAAAAGCTCAGAGACAAAGGGTAGACGGGATAATTTACGTTAAGGAAAGCCAGCTAGAAACAAGCCAAGCTAAGGCCAGGCATTTATAAGTAATAATAAGACTCTGTGTGGATTTCTTTGGGAGCTGAGTGGCAGGCCCCCCAAAGAATAAAGAGCCCAAAGAGTGAAAACAACCAACGACAGTTGCCCTCTATGGGCCTGTCCAAGCCTCTGGGTCACTTTCCCAATCCTGCTCCTGGCATCTCCCCAAGGCCCAGCACCCCAGTCATGGCACTGACAACCAGACATGCCTGCCTCACCTCAGCCAGCGGCCCCACTGACAGATGATGCCGAGATGTGCAGCAGCAGCAGCAGCAGCAGGGCGTGGCCTGTTCCCAGGTGGGAAGTGGAAGGCTTCCTTAGGAAGCTTCCTGAATGAGAATTAGAAAAGGGGGAGTGTGGGAACCCACAGTCATCCATCAGCCAGTGGCCGTGTTTCTCAGCTCGCTCACTGTCCTTCTTACAGCTTTGCTTCCCTCTGACCCTCCCGGCCCAGTGCCACAAGACCACCACTCGCCTAGTGATGCAAACCTTGTATTTCAGAGCTCGTATTTCTATTATATTCTGCTGCTGTAAAAAAAAAACCCTTTTTGAAATGACACAAACACTGTCATTATTACTACGAAATTCAATATAATTTCTTAGCATTATCAAATATGTCATATTGCCATTCACCAGGTCGTGGAAGCTGACACTTTGCCTCACATCCATTAAGGTGTTGATGCTTAGCCCAATCCTAAAAAGAGGTGAGAAAGAACTGTGGAGCCAGCAGAGTGTGAGGCAGGGTTGGCGATGGTGTTTCTGGGTATGAGCCTGTAGACCGTGCGTTTGCAATAGAACATTTAGACATCTTAGGGGTTAGAAAGAGGAGGAAAGTGCAGAAAAGAAGCCAACATGTTTGTGTAAAAACTGAATGTCAGAAAATATAATTTTTCCAGTTGTGTCACAGTTAGCATCATGGCTAGAACTGGATCACAGGGAATCCTATGTTTCTCTGATTCACATCTCTAATTTTCATATATTAATTAGCAGGACATTGCATTTTACTCTTATACTGCGTTATTATAGTGGAATGCATTCTTCATGTTGAACTATTTCTATATTGTTTATTACTTTTCACGGACACACAGACTTGATGGAGTCACACAAAAAACATTTCTTGTCTACAGCCTTTGCTTGCAAAAGGATGGGTTCTCAATCAGTTAGGAAATAAGATATCACTGTGTCACTACAGTTGCCAAGGACATTACAAGAAACGGTGTCAGCAAAGAAGCCCACAAGCTTACTGGCTCCCTGAGGGACGTGTCAGCAGCTCCCTCCACCCACATACCAGGGGCCGCACGGGACACAGTCAGGCATTCTGCTGCGTCTGTCCCAGAAAGGTGATGTTGCTAATGTGTTGTAAGAAGCCAAAGCAGGAAGCCGTTAACAAAACCGTTATTATCAGGAAAGTGTCATCTAGACATCCGAAGGCAAAAGGCCTCGAGAGAACGCCATGCCAAGTGTGCTAGCATGTGCTTCATTGTTTTGAATTTTTTTTTTAATTTTTGGTTTTTTTCCAAAGTTTCCGAGTTTCTCTGTAGCTTTGGAGGCTGTCCTGGAACTCACTTTGTAGACCTGGCTGGCCTTGAACTCACAGAGATCCACCTGCCTCTACCTCCCGAGTGCTGGGATTCATTGTTTTGAATTTTAAAGTTGTTTTTCCCCCAGGGATTTGATCCTGTTTTGGTCTTTGATCCCATTTGGATGGATAGCTATGGTGTAGCAAGTTTGGGTGCCTCCTTGGGCCTCTGCTTCTGTGTCAGGAGGGGCCCAGGGTACCGAGAGGAAGGTCAGACAGAAGGAAGAATGGGCACTATTAGGAGCCACCACGGCATCATGACTCTGCAGTTTTCAACGGGGAAGCAGCTCTGATGATAACACTGCAGTTCTGAGAGCACTGATTACAACTATTAGCCAGCTAGAACGAAGAGACATTTGGCATTTTCTTAGCTGTTTTCCCAAAATACGTTGTAAAAATAGAAAGCAAGTACAAGGACACAGTGTCTGACAGAAACAAATCAAGTTTATTGTAAGAAGTCCTGTTTGGCACTTATGTCTTCTTCCTGATGAACGCGATCGTTGGTTTATAGCCTTGAGCATTAAATGCTCAGGCAGTTGGTGAGGTGGGGAGCTTCAACCTCCCTTCAACGTTTCAGCCATAATGACTGCCTGATGTTGAGATACTGTCTGTTCCAGACACTCGGGGCCGCTGGCCCATCAGCTCTCTTAAGTGACCTCACACCGAGACTGATACTCGATGCTGAGCCCCCCTGTGCTCACCGATAGCCCCTCCCTTGGAGGGCCACTGTGGGATCTTAAGGTTTTATGTCTGCATACCTTTGTCCATCCGATGTGTCGAGGGTGAGTTAATTATAAAAAATAAAAAACATTGCATTTAGCTATCCTTTGCCTCTCTATGCCTCTGTGAGCTCTGGTAGTCATTGCTGAGAGTTTTGGGCTCTGCGTGCCTGCTGCGCCCTGACTCTCAGTCCTGTCTTCTTGAGGAGTGACTGTACCTGGGCACAGCATGACTCCAGAGCCAAACACAGGCAAATAGGTTTTTATACCGTAGACCCTGTGACCGAGCCTGTGACCGTTACTGTCCTGAAATAAACCAGCAGGGGACAGTGAATTGTCAGTGATATTTTGTGTTCACAGTGGATTACTAAGAGGAAGTTAGGGCTAAATCAACCTACCATTCCTGAAAATGAGCAACAGAAACCACTGCTTGATGACTTAGGTGGAATCATATTCAAGAACTACGAGACCTGTTTTTGACAAACCTGTGCCACCATTTGTACAGAAATTCCAGTAGAGTTTTGGGGTTTCCTCCATTGTAATAGTCCTGGGATTCAGAGAAGTCACATGGGGTAGCAATGAGAGAGGTCCTTAGCTTTTTCGAGCCAGCTCCTTTACTTCAATCCAGTATGTACTGTTTCTATTTTTTTTTTTTTTTTTTGGTTTTACGAGACAGGGTTTCTCTGTATTGTTTTGGAGGCTGTCAGACCAGCCCAGCCTCGAACTCACAGAGATCCGCCTGCCTCTGCCTCCCGAGTGCTGGGATTAAAGGCGTGCGCCACCACTGCCTGGCCGTACTGTTTCTTTTGACATTCCAAATTGTCTTCCTCTCTGAGAGCTCTGAAGCCCAGTGACTGTTCTTGGTGTTTCATGCCTGCTTCCTCTTCTGGGAAGCGAACTCAGGAATCAGGAAACCTGAACGTCCGGATGTGGGCTCAGGTAAAGCTACGAGTCTGGATTCTTCATGTCTGTACACCTTGTCCTTACGACATTGGTGGCTGAGGAGACTGGGGCTCACAGGTTCCAACTAAGAGGCTCAAACAGACTCGGCCTTCCAGCCTTGACTCTAACTCGCCAGCCGTGCTCCTTGGTGGGGGATGCTGGGTGCCGAGTGGGTGAGCTCCGCTTCCATTCTGTTGACCTGCAGTCTTGTAGAGCAGTGAGAACCGAGAGGGTGAGAGGGTGAGGCGGCTCCATAGACACTCAGGCCACGCGACTAGAGAGCGGGATGAAGGTGTAGAGGACAGAGCTGCCGCCCAGCACAGGAGTGTCCTCCGCCATGCTCTGTTTGCAGCATACAAAGAAATGGATTTCATTGTGAAACTTTCCTACCTGTACGTCATTATATTTTTCATATTTATATCTTGGCCACAGCTCTTTCCTCTCCCACTATTTGCTGACCCAAATCTTACCCTCCAATGATCCCATTTCTGCTTTTATGATATATATAATATATATACATATATAATATATCATCATCCTTCCTCTTGTTCTCCTCTCCTTCTAAACCTCTTCCCCCCATTGACCCCTTTCTATTTTCACACACACATACACACACACATACATACACACACACACATATATATATTCTCATATGAACATAGACATTCAAATTCAGATTGTACTTATAAGAGAAAGCATGCAGTATTTGTCTTTCTGAACCTGGCATGTTTTGCTGGATGCAGTGTTCCTTCTTTCCTTCCATTTTCTTACACACCTCTTAATTTCATTTTCTTTATGTTGAATAAAGTTCCGTGGTGTCTGCGTGTGACAGTTTCCTTTCCCAACCATGTATCGAGGGACATCTAGGCCGGTTCCATGTCGTGGCTGTTGTGAGTGGTGCAGCAGAAACCCGGATGGAGGGGAGCAGGGAGTTCCTAGCACGGAGTCACACAGATCACTATTATTTCATGCATGTGCTGCGTGTTAGTTGCCTTTCTTGTTGCCACGACAAAGGTATTGGTAAGGACAATGTAAACAAGGCGAGTTTACTTTGGTTTACAATTGAACTACTGTCCGTCTTGGTCAGACACGTTACACCTGCCGTCTGGAGGCAGGGATGTCTGAATGGCACCTCAGGCACTTAGAGTGTTTCCTCCCACCTCAGTCCGCCCCAGGCAGACGCTCCTTCACAGCCACGCACAGAGTTTTGTCTCCTCGTGACGCTACACCCTGTCAACTTGATGATGCTGATAACCACACATCATACACACCTTTACCCCACGTGCTCTGAGCATTCCAACTGGCTATTTTCAAATCACCGATGAAGAGGAAGCTTGATCCTGTCATGGCGCCCTCACACGGGGGGGGGGAGGGGTTGACCCATGCTGGGAGAAACACAGGCAACTATTTTGAGCTGTCCGGATTTCCAGCTCCTCAGTGGATGGATTGGTGGGTCCCTGATGCTCCGTGTTCCTGCTGTTACACGGGACATGCCCAACTGCTCCCCGATGTGTTTAATTCCCACTATCACCATGCCAGCCTGCCACAGACCCATGGCCAGGCTTCATAGAGTCTCGTGAATTCTGCAAGATACTGCCTGGAAAATTCACTCTATCTCCCTTTTTCTGCCAACCTTAGTAGCAACACATCCACTTGCCTCGAGTCCTAAGATGAGGCTGAGGCATTTCTGTTTGGATTTAAGACTGGACAGATAACCAGGTTAAAACTGACTCATAAAACGTCCCCTTAAATCCAGAGACAAATGTGACATCACATCTATAAATCGGAGAGGTTAGTTTATAAACCAGATGTTGTTAAAGTAGTATTCTGCAATGATTATATTATACAAAGAATCCTATGAATAAGGTCACTTTTAGGCTATACCTGGACTGTCCAACAACATATAAAGCATAAGTCTTAAAGTTGTTCTCGAAGGCCAGGCAGTGGTGGCGCAAACCTTTAATCCCAGCACTCAGTAGGTAGAGGCAGGCAGATTTCTGTGAGTTCAAGACCAACCTGCTCTCTGTAGAGAGCAAGTTCCAGGACAGCCTCCAAACCGCAGAGAAACCCTGACTCGAAAAACCAAAAAAAAAAAAAAAGTTGTTCTTGAAGATTTTGTCCTCAACCCCCACCCCCAAATGAGTAGATTTTGTGACTACAAGGCAGTGTGTGCCAGTGGTGACATGGATATCTTTGAAGAGGCTCAAGATATTAAATAATTCTTTTCACCTCCTGGAGTTTAGTATTGGAGAGTTCCTTGGTTATGATAAGGACAAAGATAATTTATCCTTAGAGGCCCAAGAAAGGGATTCAGAAAGATTTGGCATGTGTGTGCATGTCTCCCCCTGTGTGGATCTGTGTCTGTGAGTATATGTGTCATGTGTCTGTGTGTGTCTCTTCGTGTGTCTGCGTGTTTGTGTCTATGTGTATTTCTGTGTGTGTGTGTATTGTGTCTGTGAATATGTGTGTGCATGTGCCTGTGTGTGTCTCTCTGCCTGTGTCTGTGTGTGTTTGTGTCTGTCTGTCTGCCTGCCTGCCTGTCTGTCTGTCTGTCTGTCTGTCTCTCTCTCTCTCTCTCTCTCTCTCTCTCTCTCTCTCTGTGTGTGTTCATTGGAATTTGGGGAAGTTATCCTTGAATACTGGGACTAGGAGAGTCAAAGTGTCTCATTATCAGTTTGTTCCTTAACAGCCAGCCCATGAGCAGCATGTGGTAGAGTATCATAGCTTAGAGCCCCGGGGAATGTCAGGGTGAGGAAGTATGCTCTTCCACAGTAAACTAGGAAGGGAAATCCATTTTCTAATCTGGCCATCTTGACCCTCACCTATACTCCTTCTGGACAGAGTGGTCATGGAGGCAGGGGTTATTATTTTTATTATTTTTATTATAGGGTGTGTGCTAGCCACCACTATGCATAACTCTTGCAAGTCACTCCCAGAACTCACCGCTGGGACTCTGTCACCTCAAGTCCTTAGTCCTCCTGTCTTCGTGGATCCCATGTGTGCTGAGATTCTATTTGGGGATGAGTACTTTGGAAGCATGAAGTGCTATCTTTTCTAAGCTTTATTTATGAAATTATGCCATATCATATTCTGGGATTTCATATAAATCTGTCCTTGGCTTGGGATCTAAGATCCGAAATAGAATATATCAAAAATATGGTTCTCATTATAGAACTCAATACTCCGACAAAAAAAGCTGATAAAAAAATCTAAAAATATATTTAGTATTTTCCCTTAGTGTTCTGCTGGGGAATTACTGGCTTTTCAATCTTTGTTTTGCTATTTCATATGTTTAAAGTTTTAAAGTATTTCATGGTATCAACTACTTAACATTTTTTATAATTTAAAGGAAAACTTTTCAAATGCCACACGCATTCACATCTTATGTTTCATTCTGCCACTCTTATGGATTATAGCTACCCAAGAGTTAGTTTTCTGCTCCCTGACGGCAGGCCCAGTGTGTAGGAAACTGGGCAGTACTGGATCCTGTATGTTCTTTCTTCTGCATATGTGTTTGTGGAAAAAGCACAGTATGTGAAGACTGGTAAAGCCTACGGAGAATAATATAATAAAAATGGAGCGTTATAGTGACGTACAGGGAAATCGCAGGCGCCCCTGCTCCCTGAACTTTGAAACCATTACTGAGTAAAATAAGGATGCTTGGAACAGAAACACCACAGTGAAGTTTATGACAGTTGCGCTTATCCTCAAAATGGCTGCCGCAGGAAGGCAGCTAATTCAACGTAGTCACGGTGCACAAGTGTGTGGCCCTGTGTGTCCCAGTGGAATGAGTCAGGAGCCCAGCCTACGACATCACGGTACTCAGAATGCGCTTCAGCGTAAAGGCTGGGAAGTTCTTATTCCTGAGCATTCTGGTACTTGCATGGTGGCTCACTGATGATGGTCACTGAAACTGCGGGAAAGAGCACAGACTGGGGAATCGGGATCGGAGACATTCCTGTGAATACCATGGGGCTCTTCGTACTCTCCTAGTCTATTATTGTTGCAGCCACACTAAGGGATTTAACGATTTATGTAGTTGTTAATAAAGACGGACTGATAACATTGGCTCCATCTCACAAACTAAAGCGAGCCCTGCCCATCACCTCAGGCAACTGGCACATAGCTTTGTCTCTCCACCAGATGGCAGCATGCAATCCCGCAAAGGCAAGAATTTCGGAACAATTACAGCAACGGGGCTGCTTGGCTCTGCCCTCCATCTTTTAGCGTGGTGATAGCAGGGGTACATTACAGGGGTGAAATACGGGGAAACATCACATCAAAGGGGTGAAATAGCTTTCTATCGGGGAAACATCCATCACATTGAGGGCTGAGGGGTGGGGTGGGGGGTTTAGGCCTCTGTCTCCCACTCTTGTGTTACTGTGAGCTTTTTGGACGGGCACAACAACCTCTTTGCTGATACCATTGGACGTATTTTGTAGACAAAGATACAGAGCCGCAGGCTGGACCCGGCTGTTTTGCGGCAATGAAGCAAGTGTGGTAAGATCTGAAGAAATTAGCCGGGCATTGGTGGCACACGCCTTTAATCCCAGCACTCGGGAGGCAGAGGCAGGCGGATCTCTGTGAGTTCGAGGCCAGCCTGGTCTACAGAGTGAGTTCCACGACTCCAAAACTACACAGAGAAACCCCGCCTCGAAAACCAAACAAGCAAACAAATGCCGATGAACTTAGTAGTTATAAAGGGATTGTTCCAGATGAGCCTGATGGGAGGCAGGGCCTGATGTGGAGGATAGGAGGAGCCCGGTGCACAGGCAGCCCCTCTGAGGAGAAGCCTGCTTGTGCAGACGGCGGTGGAGAATCCATCTGCTTTGTGTCCTTGAGCGTCGCTGGCTCCCCCTAGTCTCAAGAGGGTTTCTTTGTCTCCATTCTACCTGTGCTTGAGGCTCAGCCACAGCCCCATGACCTGGGAGTGTGACAGAGCCCGCGTCCCTTTCTTCAGATCAAGTTCCGTCTCCCGCTCCTCACTGTTTACCTTTTGCATGCGGTGAAAACACTGCAGACGCTTCCTTCTAGGTTTCTTTAACACGGGATGAGAAACCGCCCCGTGATGGCCTCACTGTGCCGCAGCACCCCAGAGCCGGTTGCTCCTCTCTGCCTGTAACTTGGGTCCACCAGTCGCCTTCTCTGTGCCCGCCCCTAGCTCCTACTCTCCACCCTTTAAATAACAATGTGCAATAGCAACACTCGAACCCATGTCTTCACTCTCTGAAACCTTGTCTTCTCTCAGAGTACTCACTGTTACCCGAGGATAGCCCTCACCCCTGCCTTTCTGTGTACTTTTATCAGAACCCAGAGACAGGCCCTCTCGGCAATGGTTACTGGGCTAATGTCAATATTGGTCAAAGGAAGGGCGGCTTGCACAGCAGAAGAATGCTAGAGGTGGAGATAAATAGCAGCCGGGCCAGGAAACCAACAAACGTTCACAGTGGGCTCCCTGCGTCCCTCCTTCCTGGCTTCATTGCGCAATCTCTTGAAAGGGGAGGCTGCGCTTGATGTAACTTTGCCCATTCCCTTTCACGGGGCAGCTGTGCATGCAATGTAATGCTGCTGCCTTCCTTGCCTAGCTCCCTGCTGAGTCTAGTGCAGAACAGCAAAGTCAGCCCTAGTGGCCCCCGGTTTATTTTGCTGAGCCCAAGCACCGCTCATCCTGACTGCTCCGCAGCCGTGGTCAGTGGGGGCTGGAATGAGCTGAACTCCAGCACTGCTCCCTATTTCTCATTTCAGGGAGGGGAATGCGGAGCTGTAAAACATGTGGACTGGAGAGAGGCTGGCTCTCACTGAGCTTCAGGGAAAGGGAAGGAGCAGGGAGCTGGGACTCCAGACCTCTTCCGTGGGGAATCAATGCTTAGCACTAATAGGCTAATGGTACATGCTCTTACAGAGTCTATTGTGGATGTGAAGAAATTTAAAGACAAACTGCACGCCTCCTCTATGGCAGTCATCTGTGTATCATCTGGGTATTAGGATAGAGC